CCCACCAAACCACGAAACCTTCACCAAAGCCCAAAGGACACCACGTATCTGCAAAGAACTTTGGAGCCTGGAAACCTCCAAAAAAGAGCAGAAAAGGGGTCTTGGGTTTGGGTTTGAGAGCTTAGGTTTGAGGGTTTGGGGTCTAGGGGGTGGTTAGGGCTTAGGGTCTGGGGCCTTTTGAGCCCTAAACCCTAAACCCTAAACCCCAAACCCCAAACCCCAGACACACTCAGCTCAAGACACTGCTCTCTCGCCTCTGCAGATCTCCAGGATGGCGCAGACAGTGGACGGGCCTGGCCAAGAGGGCTCTGGACCTATAAACCCTAAACCCTACGCCCTAAACCCTATAACCCTATAAATCCTAAACCCTACAAAACCCTAAACCCTAAACAAGTCTATAGGCTAGAGACTTCAGGTTTTTTTTTTTGTTGTTTTTTTTTTTGGGGGGGGGGCTTAGGGGTTGTAAATGATGCAAGCTTTCAAGCCCAGCTAGTTCCAGCATCCTTTGGGATGTTGGGCTTTCAGGGTTTACCGAAACCCTTGGACAGGGAAATGTATACAGATCTGTATATGTATGTATGTATATATACATAGACAGAAAAAAGTTTGTATGCATATTCATAGATATATATATATATATGTATGTATCTACAATATGTACATCTATGCGTATTGTATATGTGTATGTTTACCCTGTTTCAAGCGCGAAGGTTAGCTCGAGGTGGGGTTGGACAACAAGAAACCTCACGAACCCTCAGCCCGGACTCAACCCTCAACCCGACACCCTCAAACTCCAAACCCTGTGCCCTCACAACCACTCGCCCTAAACCCTAAACCCCAACTCCTGAACCCTAAACCCTAAACCCTAAACCCTAAACCCCGAAACGCTTCAAACGCAGCCGTGGTACTAGGCGGAAGGGGCAAATCGAGGCAGTCGGCGAAACACTGCAAGGCATGCTGCCACCTTGCAGCTTCTTGGTTAAGGGGTTTAGGGTTTAGGGTTTAGGGTTTAGGGTTTAGGGTTTAGGGTTTAGGGTTTACGCCGACCCTGGCGGCGTGTTGGATGGGTTTGAGGAGGTGAAAACCTCCCTCTTTCCCTCCTTACCCCCCCAAAACCGAAGGGGGGGGGGGG